CACACCTCTGTTTCACTGGTGCCACTGAGATTACTTTCCTGTATTTGATTTTATTGATAATTGTTGGACAAAACCCAACATCACAATGCTGTCATCTTACCGACAGTCCTCAAAACGACCCAGTCCACTTTTGTAGTCATAACATTTCTCACACAGGAGAAAAATAATTTTTGCGTATTTTAAATTTGAATTTATAGCTGCCATCTCTAGAATGCCTCTTCATTAATGTGCAACATCTTTAGTCAGACGGTTTAAACCCCATAAATTAGACAACAGTAATAGATGCTAAAATGAAGGTTTTAGGGCTATGCTTTTTCAGCTTGCCAAATGCCTGTTAGCCAATAACTGATTCAATATCCTGAGTAAATATCCCAGCTGCAAAAGAGCCCACGGGGGAATGTTTTATTTTGAAATGTCTCTGCAACTCTTCTTGGGAACTGCAAGGTACTTTTTGGTCAGGCCACCAACCTTCCCTTTCAAGAAATCACAGTGAAAATGCCTGACTCCACAAAACTCCATTAAATTAGCTGGGATCACGGTACAACCCTGACTACGGCGACTAACACAGACACAAAATTTTCAGCTGCCTAATAATAATGAACACGTTAGGTCACTGACATGTAACACAGTTTTCAAGACCAATCCTGCCAACAAAGACTCCTGCCAAATGATAAAAGCTACACCAAACTCAAGATTATTGCCTACAAGCTTATGACTTTGATCAAAATAATATTATCAAGTTAAATAACTTCAAAGAGTGCAAGAGCTACTTGGGTGGGAAGCCTTGTCTAAAATAAGAGCAAAGTTTATTTTGACAAAAAAACCCCCCTTGAATTTGCTGGCAATTATCCAAAGAACTTGAAAAAAGCAGCTGATGAACGCTGGGGAATGGGGGCTGCACAATGATGTAGCTGGGGTGGAAGGAGGAACAGAAACCTTCTAGTAAGATAATTACCTAAAATGAGCAGAATTCCAGGGATAAAGGGGGGAAAAAGCCATCCTCTACTAAAGATCCACAGCTCTCAGTACCATGGGCAAAACCTCACACTGAATCTTAGTCATTTGCAGAGAAATGTGTGAATCCAGCTTTGCACCCCAGTTAAGATTACGCACAGGGAAACAACATCCTGCAATAAATGCTTCAGGGAGAGCGATTCTGAGTTTTGAAAACTCTTACACCAATTCTGCTGGTTCTAGATAGATGAAAAATAAAGAGCTGTTTATGAAACCCTGTTACAACTACCACGACTCGGTGACTCAACTACTCTGGGGGAAGCCAGAACGATGTTTTCATTTCACCTCTTTGCAAGCAGCATCTCATTGTGAAGGAAATTTTTTGTATCACGTCGGGGAACTCAAAATCTTGGTGAACTCATCTCCACGTTCTTATGCACTCTGAAGGCAGAAATTAACACCTGGGAGACTAACTGACCCCATGCCATTGCATGGCCACATTGCATACTGGCAAACACCATTGCGATTTCTCTTCAAACTAACAGTCAGATCAGACCTAAAATCTGCCTAATGAAAAATGTTTTTCCTTAGCAGTGGCCAACAGCAAATACTTAAGAAAAGAAGGATACAAGTAAATATAATGTGACTCTTTCCCAGTCATACTCTTTCAGCTTCTGATAATCACCGATTAATGATTTACTCAATGAAAAATTTCTAGCTGCTTATAGTAGTCACCAGTGGGCTTTAAGTTAATGACAATTTTTCCTCTAATACGTTCAGCTATGTGAAATTTTTCGCCTGCACTCACAGCAAGACAACAATAAATCCTCACAAACAAAGGCAAAAACTGATCTACAGCACAAATGTTACGTGGAAAACTTACTAGTCTGTTGTTAGGCAATGAAACAAACAGAATAATTCAAATATCCCTGAAGAACTGTGTAAACAGAGCAAATAATTAATGAAATTTATTACTTATGGCTTGATTGGAACCTGGAGCCAGACCCTGCAAATAAAGCTCCCCTCTATTAGAAGATTAGGAAAGATAACTTTTTATGAATAACAAAACAGAAAAAAAAAAAAAAAGCCAGCGACAAATTAAGATAATTTCTTTAAACAACATGTATAGATCAGAACTAAGAAACACTTCAACCTGAGCAGGTTTGTACAGAATCACAGAATAATTTAGGTCAGAAGAGACCTCTGGGGGTCTCTAATGCAACCTTGTCCAGTTGAGTTTTGAATGTCCCCAAGGACGGCGTTTCCACTGCCTTTCTGGGCCACTGTTCTACCACTTGAGTATGAAAATATTTCTCTTTATATTTATTTGTGATTTTCACTAATGCAACTTGACCCCACCGCGCCTCACCTTTCTGCTAAGCACCTCTGAGAAGAGCCTGGCTCCGTCTTCTCTGAACCCACCCATTAAGATAGCTCAAGAACAAAATATGGGATGTCTCCAGAGCCAGCCTGAGCAAACCCAGCTCTCGTGTCTCTCGCCACATGACGTGTGCTCCGACCCTCTCATCTCTGCAGCCCTACAACGGACTCGCTCCGGTCTACACCACACCAGACGTGGTCCCACACGTGATCAACGGAGGCGACCAATGGTTCCTCTTGACCTGCTGAAGGCTCTTCTTAATGAGATTCCTTAATTGCTGCAAGGGTGCACTGCTGACTCACCACCGACTTGTTCACATCCAACATATGAGGAATGGGATTACACTGTAACAATACCTACATTTATAGAGTACTAAAAGATGTCTCTGTAATGCTAGAGCATCAACAGATAGTATGTCTACTTGTTGCCATGTCAACTTATTTTTTTTTTCATCTCGAAATGCTCCTGCAAACGCCTGGGATCTCATTCACACTTCAGGAAAAAGGTGGGGTAATTAAAACAAAACAAAACAAAAACAAAACCCAAAAAACCACCCCAGAAACAAACCCCAAAACCAAACGACAACACAAAAACAAAACAAAACAAAACAACCCGAAAAAGAAGTGGAGGTAGAAATTGTTGTTTTAAGAAGACGGTAAGAGACAACAACTCAAGTATAAGGACTTTATGAGTGACAAAATAACAGCCAGGACTTACTCTACAAGGTTAAAAGCAATCTGTGCCCATCACAGAAGAGAAGCATCTTAAATACTTTTTTCTCTATTCACAGAACAAAAGGGTAGATCTAGTCTGCCACCAGATCCACTTCAAGGGAACCCACATGAGAACAAACTGGAGTAATTCCAGACTGGCTACAACAAACTGCAACTCAACTGCAACGCTACAAAAAAAAAGAGGCTTACTTTTCAAGAAAATCCATAGACAGAAGGACAAAGACAACTCCCATGTTGTGGAAAAAAACCCTAGAACAAAGGCTAAATTTCAAGACACACTCTCTACCAATTCTTTCACTTACTCCAGATCACGTACATTTCTCCTGATAACATCATACCAGAGTCTGTCCCATTTTAGCTAATTCATGTCAAACCAACAAGTTATTAGCCAACTGCAAATCGTTCATTATGAACTTTCAGAATAAAGGAACTAGACCGCTGTGAGCACCCTGATAACAGTCTTACTCCTTACTCGTACCTCTCAATGGTCAAAGAAAAGCCAAAGTAGGCAGGGGCAACCCAAAAACTGGCACCATGGAACTAAATGTCTGAGTCCCCAGTTAAGACATTTGTTTGTTTTTTTTTTTTTCTCTGGTGAGAAGATGGTATTTACCAGGAAGCTACAGACAAGAAGGATCGCCCGATCTCCAGTTGTTCTCAAGGGGTTTAAGTGTTTAACCTTCAGATGGGCTACTGATGCATGATGAGACCAGCAGCTACCTGACAGTGACAAACAGAATTAAGACCAGATTATTCTCCATTAGATGGTATAGACATTTTAGTGGTGTTAACACGGCACCACATGAACCTCTCATCAGGATACAGAACTTCTAGTACTATTTTTATTCTTTCCTATTGCTTTAAAAATGCGATGCTTGAAACAATGACTTTTCTTTTTTTTTTTTTTTTTTTTTTTTTTAAGATGGTATAGTACGCAATATTTCTTTTAAAATTGCAGCTGTCCAACAGTTTGAGTCTGTTCTTTTTAAAATGAAGCCAGAACAAATGGTGGTGGCAAGCCCAACGTAAAGAGGTCATCGATTATTAAAATCTCTTTACTATAAATCGTGGATGTTGCTTGTCAGCTTGGTGTGCGACTGTGGAATGAATAAGGAGGTAAAATTCCACTAAGGCTATAGTTTGCTCGATCATTCTGCTGTGCAAAAATAGAAATAAAAGCTCTCCCCGTCCTTTCACTCCTTAGTACCAAAACATTCATACACACATTAAGAAAAAAACTGCAATGGTCGCTGATCCAATTCCTTTCTTTCCTGAGTCTGCCCTGATGGTACTTATGAATTTGCCTACTCAAGAAATGCAATAAAACAGAAAAAAGATGGCTTCATTCTGCTTCAGTGATCTATATCTAAGGAAAGCACATAAATTTTCCAATGAAATCCATAAGTGAAAGACGAGGCCAAGCCCTACCTATATATCTTCAAAGTTACAGAGACAAAGAGGTGCCAACTCTGTGCCCTCTGAAAGCACAAAATCTCCTCCACACTTACCTAAGCAATTTTCACAAGATTAACAGATGTAAAGATGATCTAGTTAGCCTACGCCTTGAAGGGGTTTAGGCTGGCTAAAAACCTGCTGAGGAGCCACATTTTAGGAGTTCACAATGCTATCTGATGTTAAGCGTGAGGAAGGGATGAGAACAAGCCAAGTTATAGCAACTTCCCTTCATTCCTTTAGAAGTGGAGTAGAGAAGAGGGAAACCCATCCTTCAGACTTAGCTGTTGTCCCCTTTTTAAGCTATTCCCACATAAACAGGGAAGATAAAAATGGAATGTTGAGGAAACACTATGCAAATTTTGATGTATCTACATACAAAAATTTACATAGGTTTTTAATTTTTATTTTCAATGTAACACAGTCCTGCCCGTCTCTAACAATTCCCTTGCTGTTTCTATTGAAATGTTTCCTCTTACCAGCAGCAACATATCATTTTATCAGGATGCCAGGAGATCATTTCCACACAATGCTAGCAGATGTAATTTTCTTAGATGCACACACAGTTCATCATTTAGATACTAGATGACAAGGTGATCGCAGGGTGACTCTGTAATGCAAGTTTGCTGTTTGGTATTTTGAATTCTCAAATGATAAAAAAAAGACTTATCAAATATAAATATCTTTAAGAAAAAAGTAACAAAAGTGCTACATATGATCAAGGAAAACAATTCCATTAGTTTCTGCTACTTAAAGTAGGTTTGCTTTACAAATATTACCACATCCATTATCAGTATGGCTTCCAATTATTAATTAAATTGCTCGTAGCAGTATAGCTTTCTCACATCTTAACAAGGACAGAGTAAAGAGAACACAAAACATTCACACCCCATTTCTCAGGTAAGAGATCCTCCTGCCTTTAAACAAACAAAAAAAAGTTTGTATTTAGGAGAGTATTTATGCTATGATGGTTACCTAGCAAAGGTCAGATGCAAAAGTTCTCCAATAACCTTTCAGGCTAGTCAGGACATAGGCATTAGTTACACAGAAGTGTAAATCCACTCACCCATTTTATGACCTTAATACCTTCCAGGAAAACATCGCTTTTGAAAGTGGCAAAGTGGAAAGGGGAGGAGGGTGGGGACAGAAAAGGCGAGAGGAAGAATAAAAGGTGAAATTGTTAATGACAGATCGATAAGAGTCTAGACCTCTTCTGAGCAGGCACTGCTAGCCATGCCAAATAATGAATAGTGGTTTTGAGAAGTGGACTGCTGTCCATTAGACATTCAGCTCATTTTTCATATGATCCCAGGCTGGGCTTCAATCATGGTCCCAGAGGCAGAAGGCAGTGCTTATCCACTAAGCCACGCAGCTTGTGAGAGTAGAGGATGTCTGTGTTGAATATGTGAACATCAACCGAAATATGTGAATGTGTTTCCAATGGACATTCTCAGCACAGCACCCAAAAGTATATCAAGTCACTGTATGACCAGTGAGGCACGGCTTATTGCAGCTGGAAATCATTTATTCCCATGCTGAAGTGGGGTTTCTAGTGTTCTTTTTACTCTCTGCTGATACTCCCGATCTGGTGTCCATCGACCCTGTGCCACTACCTCAGCTTGCATCCTTTCAGTCTCAGAGAAGGAAAAGCGTACAGACTATTTTTTTAACACAATCTCTAAGGGTATCCAAGATTTTAAGTGTAGCCTAAGACTTGTAATTGAGGGCTGTCTAAAATACCTGGAAGCACTTTGAATGCTAAGACAGAGCAGCAAGATTTTTCTAGCCACTGGGGCTGGGAGAGGGAGGTTGGTTGGTTGATTGATTATTTATTGGGAATTAATACTGAGAGAGTATATGCAAAGGCTGAGGGCACCATGCCATCTTCACAGAACAAGACCCTAACAGCTAACTGACGTACAAGAAACTGCAAAGTTATACTGTAAGAACACATATTAAGGACCGAGGAAAGTCTGCTAAGGTGCTACGTCTAAAACTAAGTTACTTCTTGCTTTCCCTCCCCTTTCTTTGTATCAGTCGTCGTCTAGAGCCTCTGTCTTGATCTCGTTGGCTCCTTGCCGGGCCAATGCCAAGATGGTGTGGTTTACCGCTGCCATTTCCACGGCTAATGAAATGGGGTCTTGATGGTCACTATGGCTAGTGCTGTCATCCTGCGCATGTGGGAAGGAGAAGAGAGAAGCACTGTTACTCTGTAAGTAGAAAACCAGCAGATAAAACTAGTGTGTAAAGCGAGGGACTAGGGGCAGCGAACTGTACATTTGTTAAAGGGGTAGAAAGTGAAAGGAATTTACAAAATTGATTTAGGATTGATTTCCCTCACTGTGCAGACAAAGGTAAGCAAGGCAAGGAGTGGCATACCCAATTTTCGAGAGAGAAATTTGGTGTGTGTGGGGAATATTCTGAGGTAAATATTAAATGATAAAGATAAAAGTGATACACAAGGTATGTCAGAAAACCATACTAACATAGGAATCATTACACACTGTACAAATTAATGCTACGCATACATTTTGAAAATACAGTTCTGTTCATCCCATTTAAAGAGGACACGATAGAATTAGAAAAGGTAGAGAGAACGGCAACCCAGGGGAAGAGAGGCTAAGCAGACTCAGGTTCTTCAGTTTGGAAAAGAAATGGCTGATGGCTGACATGTAAATGTTTATTGCAAATAATTAGTAAATAGAGAACAATTGTTTGTGGCTTCTCATGATCTAATAAGCAAGGGCACTCACTGGAATGATAATATATTCCAAAGTAGCAGTGGGAAGCACTGCTTCACTTATCACAGTTCAGTTGTAGGATTCACTGATTTTTAGCTCAGACAAAGGTAAAAATGCCTTTAAAAGGCGGGGGTTAGGCAAGTTCAGGGAAAACCAGTCTCCTGGAACCTATCAAAACTGAACACTGCCTGGCTCAGGAAGCCTCTCAAAACTACTGACTTCTAGAAGCTGGAAATGACTATAATAAAAATCATTCTATGAATTCTTTAAAAATACTTTTTCTTTAAATACTACTATTGACCTCACTCGGAAACAAGATACAAAACTAGATGACCCCTTGGTCTGAGCCAGTATCCTGTGAGGACACTGAATTCACACAGGTATAGGGAAAAAGATGCTGAAAAACTCCTAGACTGCTGAGAAAAAACAGTGCAATGATTTCAGGGGACTGGAACTACCATAATTCAAATATGCAGGTGAGGATACCGTCAGGTTCTCCAGTCCACTGAACTACGTGCCATCTATTTCTCTGTCTATTTTCTAAAGAGCCAAATCTCTCAGCTGTACGAGGGCCACCGTGTTGATGGCTGCGATGGGTGGCAAGCAAAACTAATATGGAGAAACTTTGCTGTTCCAGGACTGGAGTGAAAATTTCCAAATCCATGAACAAGAAGAAGGGCTGCCTCCTCCAGGTGCATAATGGCCATACAATAGCAGGCCTGCAAGTCTGATAATTCTAGCATAAATTTTGTAGTGAGTTGTGTATGCTTCTCAGTCTATACCAGAAAGAGGGCCTGGTTTTCAATAGGAAGGAGAAACAGCAATATCCAAACTCCAGTTCCAGCTGTCAAATAAATTCTTCTGGAACTTTGGGCAAAATTATGGTGTTTTCTCCTCTTTAAAATGCGGTACTAATAATTACCACACCATGATCTCACAATTTTTAAAAATTATTATTCTTATTTACTGAACAGAAATGATAAACATTTATCAGTCTTCCAACAGCCTTTAAGTGATCGATTTGTGAAATTTAAAATGTGCATTAGCATTTTTTAAATTAAGATGACGGGTGGCAAATGTTGAGGGGGACAGAAAAGTCAGGATTTGGTAAAATCCTGAGGTTATTTAAAGGAACGCATTCATTTACAGCAAATGTCAAGCAAATACTGTGATGTGCTCACATTCTAAAGGCCTCTCAGTAATCTCTACCATGGTAAGAAATAGAAAGTCCTAACTTCTGGAGTTTTAGGCACTTCATTAGTATTTGGATGAACTTTGTATTTTAAAGTTTACTAGAGTTTAAGTGTCGCTGTGGAAAACAGAATTTATGGTTTTAACAGCTAAGGGATGTTAAATGGTCATCAGGAGAGCTTGCCATTTAATCCACTTCACTGCTAATGCCTAATTACACTTCATAGAAGAGCCCAGCTAGATTACCCAGCTAGAAATGCAATTTTTAAAGGACTCTAAACAAAAATCTTTAAATTTCAGTAACAAATGTATTTCTCGTTTCAAACTATTTTGGATAACACACAGAAGAAAAAAATAGTTTGGGAGTCTACATAACACTTCATCTCAGTATTCAAGTCCTGTATCTGACTGACAGGGAATTATCTGTGCTCGACAGCAGTTTCAAAATATTTTATAACAGTCACAGAGCAGCCTCTCATCATCTAGAGCTAACAAAGTTGGTTCCACCAATTCTGCTGGTGATGACCTATAAAAAGGGCCTTAATGCCCATCAGAAGCAGAGCGGCTGGGAATGCCTCTGCCAGATATCTGTCGTACTGGGCCACAGCCAAGTATGCTAGGGACTCATTCCAGGACACTCAGTTGCTATTACACTCCACCAGCAGCCTTTATAGAGGGAGACCTACCTACTTCTCCCAAACGAGTCAATTAAAAACGATCTGCCCACCCCAGCTGTTGGGTGTAGCACAGAACAGAGCTCCTATCAAAATCAGAACCAAGCAAGTGAACTGTTCGAGTTGACTGGTGCCAAGCACACAGCCCTGGGGGGGGTTTGGCCAACACTGACACCTGAAGGAAAATTGGGAAGGGGATGCAATACCTGTCAGGAAGGTGTGTGAAGGAAGGGTCACCAACTTTAGGGTAGGTGAGGGCTCAGAGTGCGGGAAGGGGTATTCTTTTGCTAGAGAATTTAAAAAAGAAGTTGCTGTCAAGGGTTAAAAATAACCAAGAAAAATAGAGAATAGGCAAGAGTTAAAATGCAAAAAGAAAAAAAAAAAAAAAAAAAAGAGACAGATAATATGTAAACAATCCAAATAGTGGCACATCCTTGCAGAACAATATGGAACAGGGCCAAATAAACGTCAAACTTCATTTAATCAAATCCTTTCCCCCCCACCCTTCACCCTTTGTCTGTCAGTGTTTTAGGGTCGGATCCTGAGACGCTCCTGAAAGGTACTCCCATGGGCAGAGGGAGCTCAGCACCTTATCGGAGGGTGCTCAGTATCTTGCTGGGCAAGGTTGGCAAAAGGGATTATAAAGTGTACTGGGCAGGGGCTTACTGCTGTACTTGTCTGGGTGCCAGATAAGCAACTCACAGGAGCTGTAGCACAGGCTATAATGGAGACATTTCTTGCAGAAAGAAATAATAGGTGCAAGAGGAACACACATGCCTAGTTTTGCAGGGAACATGTTGGTGCCTGATATATGGGAGTAACTGTTAGAGACGTGTACCTCCTTTCTGGAGGGTGGGTAACTAGAACAGTGCCAGGGGTAAGGAGAGTGCAAGTTATGCACAGTGCACTGGGTGAGTTAACACTCTCCTGACATTTTTCATACATTGCGTGTGGCGTGAATGGTGTAACTTGCTTGTTTGGAGCAGATCCTCCTGTCTTCTTCTACCTTCTCTGCTTCTCTGCCTCCCTCTGAACATCTTCCCTCCTCCTCCCCATTGCGTACTTGCCAAGTGTCCTGTTGTATGACAATAAATCCATGTGGGTGAATGCTGGTTGCTCAACACATTCAAACAGGGGAGCTGTGCTCTTCCCCCTTCCCCATTACAATTACGTAAAAGCAAAAATAAAACAAGAGACATCTGATTTGCAAGAGGTAGAGGGCCTCTTTGTGTGTCGCGTGAACTCTCCCGTTTTGGGCCACGCGGCTCACCCACGGTGCTTACCTGCTCTGAGTAGTCATTGCCATCAACGTCGTCGCTGTTGGAATGACCTCCCGGACTCTGTACATCTATTCCATGGCTCTCCAGGATTGCTGCTTCTTCGAAAAAAGCAAATGGATCCCTAATTTATCTGATGCATTAGAGTAATTAAAAGTAACTACTTTTTTTTTTTTTTTTTTTCCAAGAAGTTAGAATAACTGGAACAACAGAGTTAGTTCTTAGCCTCTTCCTCTTCACTCTCCAGTATTTAGGAAGGTAGCACATGTACAGACACTGGTTTGCCTGAAATCCTTCCCTGCCTACTAACAGACTTGTTTGCGAGTAAGAATCCTTCTTTCCAGCCAGTCCTATTAGAAATTAGTTTAATTTCTAATGCACTGGAGTGGCAAAGGCATTCCCTGTAGATCTTCCCACATAGTTTGGACTGGCAGGACTTGAGGGGGGCGGGGAGTGTCTGAAAATAGATGGAGAAATTTTTTAAAGCACTTAAGGGATTTAAAAACACACGTATCTTCATTTTCCAGTAGGATCCATGCACGTAAAACTCCCGTTGGTTCTTTTTAATCGCTTTCCAACCCTCCTCCCCAAACAGTGCAGATATAGCTATAACTCCACCCACCTTGGACTGACTTTGTTCCCCTCACCCCTTCAACAGACAGATTTCATTTTCAGAAAAATAAAATTAGGTTAACTTTCAGTAACACATTAAATGATGTAAAACCAGATTTTTCTCATTCACAAATTTGGCAAAATGAAGCAGATAGGAAAAGGGCATAACATTTGACATTTGCAAAAATACTGGTAATAGGAAGGTATGGATCTCTCTTTGTCTATGTACCACATATGTAATTCCACATAGTATCTAAGTGCATAAAATTTTGCAGAAATTTGTTGAATCCTAGCCACTAGTGTGAGTTTACTCTTATTAGAATGTATTATGTTTATTGCCATTAGAAGGTCTACCTATTACAAGTCCAGAGTCACTTCTAATTTCCTTATGATAAGCTACTCGTACAAAGAACCTGCAGGGCTAACACTGAAGTGACTTTTGTTTTATCCTGATCATCAAGAAAAATTATTATTTTGTTCCAGCCACTTGTCACTGTGCAACCCCTTGGAAAGCAATAAGGAGCACAGGTGTAACTAGAAAAAGTAGTCAGCTTGCAGAACCTTTGGTCCTAGTGGCTTTATCTGAGATGTAAAACAACTCATCTGGACTCTCAGATCCCTGTGGGGTCTCAGGGATGGCAGTAAGAAAGACACTCCCACGTTTTGGCTGAAAAAACAAGTCCATTGCAGCGAAACACAGACACAAGGACATTTACAACCAGATAAAAGTTCTTCACAACAGCCACTTTTCATTTAAACAGCATGCTAAGGTTGTGAACTTGCCATCATCTCAATTTCCCTTATTTCCAATGCAGATATTTTGAGATTTTATTTCAGATTTTATTTTGGATACCCAAAGGAACCTGAGCATAGGCAAATATGATTCTCCTTCCACCAATGAAATTCCCACTTTGGTTTTTAAAACTGATCTTCCAGTAAAACTTCATAACTGCACCATTTTTCTGTATTGATGATGGAATTCCATAAATGAAATTCCTACTCATATTTCAGAAAAAAAACAGCAAGAGACTGATTTTTAAAATTGCTCTGCAATCCTATGAAGAATGTCAGAACCTCTAGCATTTTCACTAATACAAACTTACATAGTTTCCATCTCTCTTGAGCAAGTGTATGTACTAAACCCTGAAAGCAGGTGCTCTGATACATTACCGATATTGGCTCTTCTCTTGATTTCCTTTCTTCTGTTGGCAAACCAATTGTACACTTTAAGGGAGGTAACTCGCTCCAAATCCGATAACTTTTTTCCTACGATAGTAACGGGGTGGGGGGAAATACAGCGTTGTTACTCACTGGGTTCCAGAGGTAGGCAAAAGACATGTGATAAATCCCTGAAATATAGACAGTTATCATAACCCAGAAGAAAGTGAATTTTATGTGAATCAGAGTACTGTGCCCAGATGCTATGGTAACAAATGCCAAATATCTCTCTAAAAACAAAGTAGCCTTTTTTTTTTTTCAATCCAAAATACAGGAATTTCCTTGCAGCTTAAATTAACCCAATCCAGAGCCATGGGGAGAATAGAGGGCTGCTTTTCTAGTTCAAGCACAAAACTAAGATTCGAAAAACTCAAATTCAATTCACAGCTCTGCCACAAATCGCATACCCTTGGGGTAGTTCTCGTACTACGTGCCACAAGGATATAGTTCAATGACGTGTTTTCTTTGGCAGCAAAATGAATGAAGAGATTTTGTGTTCCCCTCCTCAATCTGCTTTCCTTCCTCTCCACCACCAGCTGCTAAATATGTATATATATATATATACCCACACGTATTAGTTCCTCAGCACTAATCACACCCTTTCAATCATTGTCAGGACACTTGTGACCTTTTGGGAGAAGCGGGCGATGTTGGAAACCACATCACTGTGGTTTTACACTTAAACCAGTAAATAAAATCCCAACAACCACCAGCCAGCTGCACGGGACAATCCCTTCTCCTGAACACCAGAGTAAAAGAGCGAAGACCAGAGGGATTCAGCATTGCAGGGGCAGTGTGGAAAACTTTTCAGTTGGCCTTGACCCTGTTCAGTGTAGCTGCATCCTCAAGTCCTCTGCAGGTTACACAAGGAGGAGACTCCTCCGCTTCAGACTGTTTCTCAAAGTTTATTTATTCAGCACACAAAACATTCAAGTAATTACAGCAATCTGCAAACTTAAACAAGGTGAGGAGACAAGTGAAAGGAAGAAAAATCTGGAAATAGATAACTATGCTGTTTCCTAATGCTTTGCACCGGTACTACTCACAGTATCTTACCAATCCCCAACACAATATTTAAGGAGCTTGTTCAAAGTTACTAAACCAAACAGCAGCAGCACAGCTAGGAAGAAAATCTTAACCTCCTTGGTGCTCTACCTGCTACATCATTCAGCTTTCACAATTAAAAGACAACAGGCAACGCATAAAAATTGCAACAAGGAAAATTTTGACTAGGTATTAAGAAAAAGTATTTTGACATGAGAGTGCTCAACATTGTGGAGCAGGGGTCCAGAGGTGGGAAAACCTCTGGTTTTGGGGATATTCAAAACTTAATGAGGTGAAGTCCTGAGTAACCTCATCTAAGCTGGTCCTGCCTGGCCAAATGATCTCCAGAGGTCACTTCCAGCCTCTACTGCTCCATGATCCTGTGCCATCCTGTGAGTGTCCCAGTGTTCAGGAGACGTGCCTTAGCCTTCTTTTGCATTAATTTTTATTCTGGCTATATAAAATCTAAATATATCCAAAATACAAGTTCTGAAAACTATGCAAATTTTTAGTTAGCAAAACTAAGCAAAGGCAGGTGTGTCCACTCATACTACACTGAATATTCATGCTCTCCCAAGTATGACTTCTCCAGGAAGAGGGAAAATGCAACTTGTTGACCCAATACAAGGTCCTCCATTTATACACAGATTCTAATACAATGACTCTGCCTAGAATTTGCAAAGAAAACTGAAACACAGGAAAGCTGTGCTTCTTACTCCTCCCAGGACCTGCTGTATGATCTCCAGCAAGCCCCAGCCTGTGAGCCTAAGACTTCCCATCTGTAAAATGGAACCAGTAAAACCCACTTCCGTGTAATAAAATTCCCAGATCACTACTGAGTGCTTGTGTAAGTACTTTGAGATAACTGAATGTAAAGCACGGAAACCCTTCAGACTTATCTTCTTAGCAATGACATTTGTAAAGAAAGCTGTATAAAGGAAATGTTCAAATGTGCAACTTGCCCTTCATACTTCAAATGGTGGGAAGTTGCAGACACTGGAATTTAGGTTTGAAAATTGCACTGACTGTCATGTTCATCCAAGTATGGGCTGAACATCATGAGTTATAGAATGGTCAGGAAGAAACCTACTACTAGTTGAGAGAACTACATTTGTTAGTAATAGCCATAAAATGAGATTTGCTGAATTTAGCAGGAGATGTTGAAATCTAATTGCAGTTGCCTTTGGAAAGGACACCATGACCAGCTCCTCACCTGGCTTTTGTATGACTGCATTACAGGCGTTTGCAATTTCTTCTCTCTTTGCCTCATCTGGATATTGATTCTCATTGAAGTAACTGGAAGGGAGGGAAGAAAAAAAAAGTTGTGGGTTGTTTGTTTTTTTTTTGTTTGTTTTTTTTTTTTTTTTTTTCAGAAATCAGAGAATGAAGGCTCCAAAGCAGCAAAAATATGTCAACTGCTAGTTTATGCATCACTCTTACAGAGATACCACAGACGCAGTAAATTTTATGCAAACCTGTACATGCATATGGTAATATCAGCATGCACACATGTCCATGTAGAGTGGATAAGATTTAGCAAATGCCTCAGATAAACTAATATTATCTCAGCATTTGGAATATCGTGCCACCGTACTAGGAGATGCAACAAAGGAAGTAGGCGATGCTACGAATCTCAGAGTTAAGACTGTCAGGTGAGCCATCATGTCAAAAGACATAATAGACCATGCCTCTCTTTTTGTTTATTATCAAGTAAATGATAATAACATTTTTTTTCCCCTGACATACCCCCAGTTTAGGCAGCGTCCTATAAATGAAGGAGCTGTTCAATATTTATTTTGATCCCTGGGTTAATATACACACACATACATGCATACTTGTATATATATTATGCAAACACACACAAATATTGCATACTTCAGACATACGATATGAAGATTGTACAGCCAAAATTACAGTCACACAGTAAGACCTCTAGTCAGACTAGGTATTTTTTTTAAATCACAATTTAAAAATTTTAAATTGTCCCCAGAACATATTGAGTATAGCATATTTTAACAGTATTTTTTTTCTGAATAATTATGATTTTATTGTACTTTATATGCAGTAAACATCCTATAAAAGTTAAACTGTTTTCTCTTTTACTTCATTTAAGTGCTTTACAAATTTTAATGAACTGATTTACATTCTACAGAGCTTATCAGATTTGCATTCAAACCAACAAAAAGTCCTGTTTACTTCAATGGACTCTGATAAGCATGCCATAAGCAGGGACTACTACACTTTTTTCTGCAGATTGTCAGCAATATATAATCCTAAGAATTCTTTGATCAACTTTGATCAGCAGCAGGTTCAGCTGTTGGACAACTGCTCTGTATTTGAAAATAAGATATTTCCTTTAATTGTAGATCATTTCCTAGTAGGAGATTTAGGCATATTTAGGCAATTATTATTTTCCATGGTCATACTTTTCCTCTAGTGAATCGGCCCTGGCACAGTTACTTTCTATGGAAACCTGGATTCTGTTCCATACAGCAATTCCTTCTGTTCAACCTTCTTCTGAATAAGTGGTGCTAACGCAGATCTCACTATTTTACTTCCAGTTTTGATTAATTCACTGTATATACAAATTTTGAACATTGTTTGGATTTTAACTCCTACCTCTTCATCTCATTGTTCACAGTGTTATTTACAGTTGCAGCTCTGCCCACAAACAGAGTCCTATTTCAAAGTGGTTACTCATTGACTAAGAGAAATCACGCATTAGCACAGCTAAGTTCCACTGTTTAATGTACTTCCACTTGATTTGCTAGCTTGGAGAGCAAACGAAACCACAGAAATAGTTCCATCTTCACTAAATGAAGGGCAGACTACGTCTGTGCAACCAATTTGGGCTTTGGAGGCAATCACACGTAAACATCCACTCTACTTCCCTGGACCTCCGAGTTGCTCTTATGAAGTAAATCCAGAGAGACCAACCATAACTGCAATTCCCACTATGCTTCATCCTACTCTTGAAAAAACAGCTGAGGTTATGCCATTAGATCTGAAGAGTTGGACACCTGGTTACACTTATTTTCTGGGAAGCTTCAAGTACATAGCACACTCAACTCTGGCACTGCCACCAGCAGGAACGCTCCCTTAATCATCGGCAAGAGATTTTTGTATTTTTTTTCCTCCCCCTTCAAGCAATACGCCCAGTGTCTGCGCATGGTATCTTTTAAAGTATAATCTTTCCTCTTCCAGCTTTATCATCCTTTCTATTATTATAGCCCTTGAAGTAATATGCGTGTCTCTCTCAACTTGCAGATTTCTGTTCAAAGGTATCATCTTCTGTACAAAAGGGTCCTTTTGAGAAAGGAGAGCTTGGAAAACAGATCAGAAAATTCTTTTTCCAGTAGCTAGTGATGGAAGCAGAAGCTCAGGATCCCAGTCCAACTGCCTCATGACACTGTCTCAGTTCTTCCACCTACAAAACAGAGCGCTCCACTCTCTGCCCAGAGCCAGGAACTCCTTCCTCTTTTAAGTGCCATGAGATAAAGGAACATCAAGAGGTCACAGCTGAGAACTCCTGTATTATTATTTAAATGAATATACTGTATGACCTGGAGTCCTAATGAGGCATCCAGGTCATTACTATACATGCAAAACTAAACTCAGCAAATTCTGGTAACCGTAACAGCTATTTTATGGACTCCCTTTGCTGAACATTATTTATTTTGTTTACAGATACTTGTCAAAAGTCAAGAAAAACAGCATGAAAGAAACCCCATAAAATAAGAAAGCCTGATGTATCTACATGGAGATGTACTAAAACCAGAAAGTGAAATGCTGGTATCGTTCAATATTATGGATCTAGATCATCTGTGGTCACAAAGCTGCTGGACAATGCCTAACTCTACGGAAGAAATGGCAAAAGATGTGAAATTAAGAAACAGTGTATACTTGAACGGCCCATTCCTATGTTGATGCAAGAAACAGACACCAATTAACGAAGAAAAGACAACGCAAGACTCACTAGTGAACCTTCTCCTGGCACGTAACTAAACACTATCCTTTTAGCAAGCCACAGGCTGCCATACATTTTTGCTGGCTCCATCAAAAAAGCTCACATTTTCTAATAATAACAAAACTTAGGCTCAGGTTTACTGTTCTCTAGATATCAGGATATCTCCCTGTGATGGAGATAACTTTCAGAACCGGACAATGAATGAGATGCCTCTTCTGGCAAACGAGGAAGTTTTTCTTTGTGTAGTCCAATCACTTCTGTGATTTAGAAAAATTTCGCTGCTGAAACAGTAATTCTTATCTTAACACATTCTACAACTGAATAAGCTATAAACATTTTTATTTGGTTGGATCAAAACATACTTTTTGTCATTCTGAAACATTTTCCTTACATTCTAACACAAACATATTATCTTTTAAGGTCTAAAAGTTTCTACAAGAAAAGTGATTCCCACTTGAAAATCTGAAATTCTTTTCACCCCAAACCCCTGTTTTATGAGAAAAAACACCAAAACTTTGACAAGTTTTCAGGCAGCTCTCCTGCTAAATAAGACACTTTCAAGGAGATCACAAAGCTAAGCAGGTAACAGAGGGGAGCTGGAAAGGCAGTACCAGATTTTTTAAACTCAGTTTCTGTAGTTGACACATTCATTTTAGAACCTGCCTCTTCTACCTGTTGGCTTATTCCTTCTCCACATTAATGACGTGTTGTCTCCTTACCCCACACATTCAACCTGCCTATAAACTCACCCAACCTTCCACTCATGCTCCCCAAAACTGTTATCTTCGCCTCAACTTCTCCTGATAATATTCTTCTCCATAGCGGTATTGTGCTTGTACCCTCTGACAGAGTGCAAGCTGGTTTTATCAGAGGAAAGATCATACTCAACAGTTTTCAGTCTTAAAGGAAAAGGTCTCATAGCTACAGGCAACCAAAAACATAAAACCTCAACTGTAAGAGCCAACTTTTATCCTCAGCCTCCAAATTCTCTGTATACACACGCTACCAACACACCGTATTTCCTTCCCCTCACTTATTTCAAGGTCTTAATGGGACTCATGGGTGATACCCCATGACATAAACTGTAATATATAAAGCCTCCCAACATTTCTAGGAAGTAGGTGAGAATTACTGAGTTTTCAGGAGAGGAAGCCATGGAAGAAAATTCTGTACTTCATCACTGACAGCTGTGGTTTGCTCATGTAGAAGTTGCGAAAACACTGTGAATTTTTTGACTACAGTTCTTCTTGCAAGCAGGAAATTAATTAATCTGCCTCCAGTTCTGTCTCTTATCAGCCAGGTACACACTTGCTAAGGGACAGGGAAAGAACGCGGGATGTTTGAATTCCTCTTCACAGCTACAAACCACAGCCTGTTCACAATCTGAAAAGTTCCTGAAAACTAGAGATGAAAAATATGAAGCAATATGAACTTAAAAGGATGGAGGGGGGAAAAAAAAAATAAAAAAAGATGAAGAGCAGGCACAAGTAAATCCTGCAAAGGCACACTGCTTTCTAGACAAAGGGCAGCTGTCAGCTGAATACCTTCAATGAAGAAACCAAATGATCTCTTTTGTAGAAAATGACAGTGGAGGATTAAAATGAAAAGTAGCCAAATAATTTACATGAGATGAGAATCCATATGATGGTAAAGAATGTAGATATCCTTGAAGCGGTTTCATTTCAATAACACTGGAAGCCTAGAAAAATTGCAGATTCAGAGAAACCCTCTTTCTTTCAGGGATAATGTGCTTAGGACAATGATGGAGAGAGAATCCATCTCAGCCCCGGGCTCTGTAAGGGAAGTAAATGCATTCCCCCCCACTCTTTACCAAGGTGCCCCTATCTGAATTCCTGCAATAGCTGCCAATCTTTTTTTGCTTGGCTCTACGGCTTCTGTTATCCAGGCTTAGATATCAGATGCATTAAGCAATGCCTCAGTAGTGTTCCTGATAATCCACAGTGGAAGTTTTGCTGCTTTGTATCATCTTTGCAGCTGCCAGGGAAGTGTTTGAAACGACCCGAGCCACGGAGCAGCGGAAGGACGGCCAGGTTTGGTGCTTTTTCATAGGGCTGGATGTCAGACACAAACAGATAAAAAACCCAGAATTGCTCAAAGACCCCGGGTTGGCCAAAGGCTTAGTTTAAAGCATGACATAATGGTTAAAGCTTCAAAGTGTGGAAGTGATTCAAAGTGGAGAGGCTCAAATGTATTGCAGGGTAACAATTCACCACAGGTCACCTGTTACGGCAGAATTACACACACTCAAGGTGAGGTAATTCAGGTATGTGTACATCAGGGCAATCTCACTGAAAGAAGGATAATTTAC